TTTGAAATATAAATGAAAGTCACGGCTGTAAGAAAAGTAAATGCTGTGACATTGTCACGGAATGGAGATTTCCTCATACTAAATTAATTGTGAAGACAAAGCCGAACGGGGGACAGGCGAAATGGACTCTTAACAGGAAGAAATTAAACTTGCAATTTTCGTGGAAATTAAATTGACCTGAAATATTTGGACTGCGGACCCTTTTATTTCGACTGTAGTTACGTTGTGAATGCTAATAATGTGAAGGGCGTACGTTTGAATTTATGGAATAATTAAAGTTTATTTCGAGAGTAAATTATGCAAAGACATAATTTGTTTATTGTTGTAAGCATTTCAGATGTTTGGTAATCGCTTTACGGGTGTTATTTGTATTAATTTTATGCGAGAATGATTACATTCCAAAGCTTAAAATATAGTGCTCAAAGAAAATTATATACGAAATAAAACTCAGTTCTAAAAATAACAGTGCAAGTAATAGTATCGTGCGATTAGAAGTACCGCAAGACTTGCAACACATTACAGCAATTGGTGGCACAAAACAATCGATCTAATGCATCGGGCCACAAAGAGTCTCCCGCTGAAAGGAGAACGCTGTATGTCGTGCCACAAAATGTTTGAACTGTTGTTGAAAACTTTTAGTTGAACGGATCAACTCAAAGCTTTTCTTCTACCCTGAACCAGTTTCAAGAGACCATGTGTTTTAAAAACATTGAATAAATGGACTTGTTCAATGGCTTTTGTGGGAATATGTTGAACGTCTCGACTTTTTATTACTGTTTGTCCGCATATAAATAGTTCCGCAAGTTCACAACGATCTCTACTCTACTTTTCTAAACATGACTATGCTTTTATAAATATTATGCAGAATTCTTGTTTCTTCTCCAAGTAATAGTAAAATTTAATTAGTTTATGAAAGTGACCCAGATATAACGTTTCTGGAACGCTGCTTTCGAGGAATCGCGACTCGATATCCGACGAACTTGAACTAATTTGAAATGGTCTACGCTGACGTCAATGTCGCGGTATTAAATATAAGCACTAATTTCATTGGCTATATCAGAAATGTAATTTAATGAAATTTATTTTCGAATTGTTGATTTTATTTATGTACTAAAGTTCGATCAACGGCGTTTCACTGACTTACCTGTAGTAGGTATAATAATAATATGGCCAAGGATAGAGTGTATAAAATAAACTTCTACTTATAAACAAAATACTCATCAATATACTGCAGCACCAGTTTAATTAACTTAAGAACCCATCCGTGCAAACATCTCGAAAGAGTTAGCACCTAGCAACCAACCAGCATCCTACATCCATCTAATCTGTCACCAATTTCCACTAGCAATCTTGATCACAGCGCAAACATGGCTCGCTACTATCTAAACCATCCATTGCCGCAACTAACTAACCGACTGAGCTTAGTTGACTCTTTAGATAAATAGAAAACTCATTCCCTGCGACTGGACCAGCTTGCGATCACTGGACCCGGCAAATGTGATCATGGACCTAAAGATTCTGGAAATGAGAAATGCTGTTGAAGAAATAGAAATATGAGAAAACCAATTTGACACAGAATAATTATAGTATTATTGCAATGTTTCACCATGCTTTTTAAAAACAAAGTTATATTTTTTAGGTTAAAGGGGAAAACAGATAGGTATATCCTTAAAAGAGACAAGCTTGAATCTGACACAGAGTTATTATTTGTTAAAAAAACAATATTCTATCAAGTCATTTCGTATATAGAGTCTTACTGTTTATGTATGGATATAAATATAAAAGATAATATAAAAGAAAAAAGAAAAGAAGAGAAAAGTTTTTACTTGTGAAACTAACAAGTTACTTCCGAAGAAGACCCTAACGTTCAACGAAAAAGATGCGTCTTCCATTTATTCTCACTTCTTTGGTAACAAACCATGAGAGTGCAGCAATGTTGCAGCGGCCGCAACCGCAGCCATTCGCTACTAATCAGTGTCTGTACATGACGACGTTCAAACACAAATGTTTATTGTCATTATAAGGATTTGTCACTGATTTACGAGCTAACAAGGTAGCTAACTTTGTTCTGTTTTGTTTCTTATTTAGCTAAATTCCGGTTTTTATAGATTAACTCGTCGAGTACCGTCTATGTAGACACAATTATAGAACAATAGGTTGCGGTCACCGGTGACCGCTTGGTGTTTGACAGTTTAAATACGTATTTACTAAGAACTTTGTTGAATTGTATTTAGTTGTATGTGCGGTCGAAGAACATAGTTATGTATATAATTTAAAAGGAAATTTTATAATGATGGTAATCTATGTGCAATCAATCGGGCTTGCAGACAGCGAGTATGGGTAGCTCACCGCCCGACCAGAACCAGATCTAAGCGTACGGTGCGTCGAGTTCCACGCGCGCCTCAATGAGCCATTAGACCACCACGGATGGGGGCCAATAGAGCTGATGCCGATACGGAGCCGCGGAAGAGTTAATGGGTTGCTCGAAGTGCAGGAGTAGGAACAGAGTGATTTTTAGTCAGTAAGAATCTGACACTCCCTCCCGCCTCGCCCCGGCGGAAAAACTTATTCGATGACTTTTCCCCCTAAAAAATATGTAATCAATAAGAATAAATGCAATATAATAGTACATCGTAGTTGCCCAGCATAGTATTACGTCTATAATAGGTAGGTACTCAGTTTACTAAACTACACACCAACAATTAGGTACATACGAACAAACCACTTACGAGGTATATTCTGAGAACTTAATAACAAGACCTGATTGGTATAAGCCATTTTACTAAGGAATACGCCTCAGTGATCCAAGAGAGACGGACTGAAGAAATTAACCGCCCAAGTGTTTAGACGAGCAAGTCACACGAATGACACAAACATTCAAACATACAGACGCTTTGAGCTTCCAGAATTAGTGAGGACTGAGGACTGAGGACATTGAAATTCTGGAGTTGTTCTATAGTCTAAACATGTGTTTGTAGTCTGTCGTATCTATTTGATGAATTGTGAAGTTTGTTAAGGACTAGTTTTGTGGCAGACTAAATTGGAGATGGTTAGGTAATTGTCATGTTTTAATTAGTACTTCATAAAGGAATTGGGTTGGAAATTGAAATGATTAATTGTTTGTTGTAAGTAAGGGATTATGTTGACTTTATAGTCCATTTAATATATTTATTAAACTTATGATACATGATTTATTAAAGTGAAGCGATTATTATAAGTGTAATAACTAACAAATATTTAACCGATAATACATACACATATTTCAATTTTATTAAAATAAGTTCAGGATACTTCATAAATAGCCCGTATTAATGAATGTTAAACCTGTATGAATATTAATGATACATACATTTTACGCCTTTGGGTTAAAGTCGGTTCATTTGATATCGTTACCCAACTTATTTCTGGCACCGGCTCAACACTGAACAACAATGCTTTAGTAATTTATAACACAAACAAACATAAATTTCAGTTCGCGAACAATGTTTTTTCTTAATTAGCCACAGTACGTAGATTAATTTAGAAAGCGAGCTTAATGTGTTCAAGTTTACTAGTCTAATTTGCTCGGGTTTAGAGCAAAGACGTGTTTCCATATAGAGAGTGAAGATTCCCGGGGAGTTATTTAACTAATTTTACATGCGGGGCAAGTTTTAACCCCACTACCATATGTTTGCGTTGCCGCCGCGGGTACATCTCCCAGCAAGTGCCGACTACGCGACTCGGTAAGACAAACTGGTACGTACGCCCTTCAGAATTAGCTCGGCAAATTCAAACATCCAACTCCTCCACTTGTACGCCTGACAACTAGCGACGATCGCTGTTGTCAGAATTTTGAAAGCCACCAAGTTAACGTACAGTCTTGATTACCGCCTGCACTTTGCAAGAGAATCTTATGCATGAGGCTTTCTGAAGACATTCGTGCTGCGGAGCGCTAGTTCAGTTTACTTACTCCTAATTCTGTTACGCTCAACACACAAGAAGGATTTAAAAATGTTACATATTACATAATCCCATTTCGCCTGCACTTAAGCAAAATATAACAAAGTCAGAGGATTTATGGCCATACGAATTTCTACAAAAGTATACAGACAATGTCATAAATAATCTTAGAGTAATAAAATCCGAAATAAGAGAGAGCTCCGCACAGAATAGTCGCAACAAGGAGCGTATTATTCAGTGTCACCGTCGGGACGTGTCCTGTAATATATGTTTTAATAAAAGGGTTTCAATTCTCACCCGAACATACATCACACGGAGATACCCGAAGTATCAATAATATCGAAAAAGATCTTCAATTTATTATTCATTGAAGTCGCTGGGCGGGGCGGGCCGCTCTATAAATCCAGGGATCGCCACTAAATCATCGTTTGCAGGCGGCGGCGCGGCGGAAGGACGTGTGCGGGCGCAATTTTTATCCATTTTTCATCGATGGAAACAAATGGATACATTGCCATTGTCTGCATAATTATAATTCAGGTGCTCGCGACAAATATCAGGATAGGTAATTGTTCCATATTCCATACAAATAGTAACATTGTAAGCAATAGAAATGGCTCAAGGTTTGTAACCTCTATAAGTACATTTTCTCGTACAATGTAGGACCTAAACAAAGAAAGGCAGGTGGACCGGCTGGTGCTGTACCCACTGAAAGAATCCATAAAAACTGTAATGGTACCCTCGTCACGTGCGGACATCTTATTTATCTAGTCACGAGCAAAATCATTGTTTCCTTTTTCGTTGTGTGTTCGGGCAAAAACACGCCTTATTACCGCCACCGGCTAACAGATGAACTGCTGAACGGGACCATTGTCCCCGAGCCTTGTGTGTGACGTTTGTTCCTCGCAGACGCGAAGAAAAAATTGTACTCCCTTGTCGAGAAGCGACTATTTATTCATGTGTTCACTATATTTGTTTTGTTTGCTTCTCAAGTAAAATAAAGGAAAATTACGCGAGTTACGTATGTAGGTTAGTAAGTAGGCACAGAAAGTTTTTGTTCGAACATTGTTTACTAACAAAACGTTATCTATTCTGAATTTTCAATTTATTTAAATGAATGATAATAATATCATAAATGAGATCTACTTTTGCTTACAGTATAAAATGCTTTGGGTGCAAACAATTAAGCCTTATTAAGTGTATACAAATTGATGATGTTTATTTGTACAATTCTAAAAGCTTGATTAATGTGAAATTAAATTTGATACATAGATTTCCCCTACATTTTCAACTGCCCTTCCCAAGGGGCTAACAAGTCTAATTGCCACCATATAATTGTTATTAATACATGATTTATAAGGTTTAAATTCAATCTAAACTGTAGTGCCTTATTCATTGCAAATAATTTTATATTCATGTTAATAACAATGTCATGTTTTCTCATTTATCTTTGGTCAAATACTTAACAAACAAATACAGTCATAATGAATAGATATTTTTCTACTGTATTCAGGCACTTGGCATCTCTTCAACGAGTCTGCACGTTACGTAGTAAAGCGAAGAACGAATACGAAGAATTCATTATCTGCAACAAAATAATATAAACGTTTGTTAGTTGTTTTGTTGTAAACATAAATAAATATAGGAAGCTAACTATTGGTTCCTAACCCTCCTAATATTATAAATGCGAAAGTTTAGTATGTCTGTTTATATAATTGACTGCACAGTTGGTGTGGCGGCTGGGCAACCGGCTGCCGTGCAACGTGTCGTGGGTTCGATTCCCGCACGGAACAACACTTTGTGTGATCCACAAATTGTTTATTCGAGTCTGGGTGTGATGTGTATGTGAACTTCTATGTTTGTAAACGCACCTACGACACAGGAGAAAATCCCAGTGTGGGGCAACATTAAAAAAAAAAATGTGTTTTTTTACGTCGAAACGGCTGAAGAGCCATCTAGATCGAGTTTCAATTTGAAACAAAGGTAGATTATGGATTAAAGTAACGCATAGGCTAGCAGAAACTATTTGTGACATAATTTGACACCTTCATATTGATTTCCTAAAGAGTAAGATCTTTTTCTAACCTACTAAAGAAAATTTGGTATCTTTTTCCCGATACAAGCATGAAGTTCGAATGCTTTGCTATACACGCAGTCGCATTTATCACCGCTTATTTAACAAGACATAATACTTACTATACTATAGAATAACGAGACAAAAACGAAAGAAGTCTATAAAATCGAAGTGTTTATTCGTAGTACTTCAACTCACGAAATCAGTATTCCAAAGAATAAATGTTAGGATTGGACGAACAGACAGCAATCCCTCAGTTCCAAGTACTGTCAATTCATCGGCATATGTCTACAAAGATTTCTAGAAATTTCCGAAAAGGTCAGGCTGAATAGATTTTTGTTAGGACGCCTTATTTTTCTGAGTAAATTCACTGACTGATTATATTGAACTGATTTGGTTATGGCAAAATTCGATTCTGCTATTTAAGACCTTATTTACAAGAAAAATAAAAGAAACAAATAATGTAGGCTACATATTAAAGCTTTTGTATTTGTTTGTAAATCGTAAGACAGTAATCTGTTTCTAAAAAAAAACAGTTTAAAACTAACAAATACACCCACTTTAACAAACAAAGTGTAGGAAGAGATAATATAAGTAATAACACCTACTCTGTGACAAATTTGTTATTTATTCCACGTAGGCAGTAGGATGAGCCTACTACCACCTACTTATGTCGAAAGGTGTCAATGTATAAAATACTCACAATTTGCAAACACTGAAGAACCTTATTAATTTATTTTCATTTTACCTTCCTATTTTTCATATCATTTTTCATGACCTCGGGCCCTTAGTATGGCTTGAAACTAATCGAGTGATCTCATCAAATAGTTACGTAATTTTTTTTAATACGAATAAAATAGTTTCTCTTTTCTATTTAAAAATATTTAGCAAACAATAATAAACTTTATTCATCTAAGAATAAATATAGTTTTTAATACCCACCGCCGTAAAAGTACCAAGTGATAGTAGAAACATTTTGCCTCCTTTTATGATAATGGGTCTGTTTGCTCTCTCGACCAACAGTCGCAAATTGCTTTTAAATCTACGACATCTTGGCGTCCAGTCACAGTCGTACACCGCAAATGTTATTTGACTACTCTGTTAGGAAAAGAAAAAATATAAGATAATACAAAGTACAATAAAGAGACAAGGTAGAAAGTAAATAGGTTGCAGAATCAGAATGCCAGTCATACTTAGGTGTATGCAGAAGTATGAAATACAAGCACAAAAAATTTTTAACCGATTTCAAAAATCGAAAGAGATTCTCAGTTGGTATGTATGTATGTATGTATGTATGTTCGTGCGCAATTATCTCGAGCTTGGCTGAACCTATTTTGATGCGGTTTTCAGAAAAATGTTTGTTACACTTATGAGACGATTTTACTACCTATAATAATCAACCGACTTCGAAAAAAGAGGGGTTAAAGTTGGTTTTATTAACCGTAGTTGATGAAAGTATGTAATTTAATATTTACCTTTTCGATGAGACGAGAACCAAACCAGCAAGGAACCATCACTTGGAGAGTCATGACTACTATGTACAGTGTTAGGAATACGAAATACTGGGTTTCTGCGGGCTACAAAACAAAATGAATTCAATATAACACTTAATAAAAGCTATTTTTCTTAATTGTAATTTTTGTTAATCAGAAAAGATATTTTACTTACCATTGTAAATCGAAATAAACACATGCATATTTTGCAAGAACCAGAGCTGAATAGTACGAACAATATCTCACTAAATGCTTCTTGTATTAGCTTGCAATATCTGGAAATATCACAAGAAAAATAAAGAAACATCATCAAAGAAAACTTTTAATAAAATAAAAGTACTAAAACGAAGTACTCACTCGCAAACCGCGTCATAATGTTTGATACATTTATTGATCTCCAAAACGGCATTCTGATCATCTATCATCTTATCAATGGATCCCCGAGGCGCATCGACATTCACACAAACATTCGTCACTTTCCTCAATTTCCTATCGAGAATATCCAACTGCGCCATTGCAAGAAACATCACCCCCAAAAGAAATGTATCGATATTTACGTTGTACAACATATGAGAAGTGATCCCTATACTTTGATACAAGTACGCTGGGTACAAAAATATCGCTTCGTACTGCTCCGGTATAAAGGAGTATCTACACACAGGATACTCCAACTTAATTGAGAAAATTAAGTGCAGAACAAATGGTAGGAACACATTCACCGTGTTCGCCGACACAGACAACCCGAACGTAATCTTCCAATAAAATAAAGATTTCTCTTTGGCTTTTTCTATTAATTTCACTTCTTCAGGATTATCAGTTTGAAACATTTCGCTTTCTAACATATATAACATTTTTTTCACTTTATCACGCAAAAAAATAAACGCTAATGCTTTAGACAGAGCGCCGACGTTAGTGAAATAGAATATTAGTTCTTCAGCGAAAATTTCCAATTGTTGAGGCAAGAAATAGAAGTTCATTGTGTATATAATAACGTATAAAACGGTGAATATGAACACAAATATTCTGGAGAAATATACGTAATAAACACTTGGATTTTCCTCAGGCCAAACGCCAAGAACTCTGAGAATTGTCAAATGTATTTCAAAGCAATCTATTTGATTGTACCCCATTTTGAGAATGTGCAGGACTGACAGCCACGCGTTTTCCCTGGTTTTTGTACAAAATTGAGTTACTACAGCTTATATAGTTTGAGGATTACAAAGGAATGGAACAGCTTGTAATTACGATATTCTTAATTAATAAGCAGAGGTGTGAAAATGCATCGCACGTTTTAGTCGCCTTCAAATTTCTAATTTACACCAGTTAGTTCAAAGCAAATTAACAACCTTTAGGAATTAATTCGCAGGTACGTTTCCAAGACGTATTGAAATATTTATGCGCAAAGTATATGGAAGGTTTAATGGATGTGGGTTAATTGCTGGCGTCGTAGTTTTTAAATGAGATGCAATTAGTGAAGGTGACGTACGGCCAGCCATAAAATGATCCAGAAAATTCTTCAAGCATTTACAAATTCTGCCGTAGGCTTTCGTAGAGGTAATTTAATGATATGTATGCGCGTTTTTTAAATACATATTCTATAATATTGGACAACCTCTTTTTAGGAAAATACAAAACAATGTTACGTATTTGATTTTTTCCCAACGCTACAGTTACAATGTTTATATTGACTATCAATGTTAGTGAACTGTAATGGACACGTAATAAGCAAGTGAGTTGGTTGCTGATCGTATCTTCCCTTGCATTATATTTTGCCTTTTTTGTTAAAAAATACGCTATAGATAATAATGTCCAATCAAGAGTATCAAAGTCCACATAACATAACATAACATCACGCCTTTTTATACCCGAAAGGGTAGGCAGAGGTGCACATTACGGCACTTAATGCCACTGTACAATGTAACACCCACTTTTCACTATTTATGTTGCGAGTCCCATATAATAGGGGGTGAGCCTATTGCCATATACCGGGCGCATTTCCAGACTCCGTGCTACTACTGAGATTTTTAAAATCCCAGTAATACTTTGCCCGACCCGGGAATCGAACCCGAGACCCCTTGCCCGGCAGTCATCAAATCAAAGTCCAATCCCTGTAGTAATTATTTTTACTTGACTATCCAGTGCTTAAAAGTACAAAATATAAATTGTTATACATATTTTTATTGCAGAAGAACATTAAAGCACATTATTGCATCAAACGCAATGAAAATGAAGTCACATAACAAATAAGATTTTATTTTAATTAATATTCAGAACTAAAAATTAAGTATATTAATCATAAATAAAGCATTGTTTACATTCGCTTTTTTTTTTTTTTTTTTTTTTTTTTTTTTGGAACCACAAACAAGTTTACAATACACCTTAATATTTATATCTTAACTAATACAATTTTACTTATTGCAAACTCAACATCAATGGTCACCTAAATATAAATGATTTAGAAAATGATGAACCTGCACCTTAATATAATCATGTTTCAATCAGGTTTCATAGGAAGTGTTACCGTGGTGAAAATAATTAGAAAAAAAAAAAGCGTGTATGTATGCATGCATATGTTTGTTTGATTTGTGTGTGTGTGTCTGTGTGTGTAGGTTGCAGTTATAACACAACATAACGATGTACGATATTGTGGTTTATATATTTTCCTGTGATAATATTTTGATTATTTGCTTCCTGTATGCATGTTTACTATTGCCAAATATATCCAATGTACTCAACTTATTATTATATGTCCCAAACATTCGATTCAGCGGGGACCGACTGCCGGCGTTAGTACGTGATCGCGTTTTAGCAAAGACCTGCTTATGACGAGAGGCTCTCACATGGGCTCTCAAGGGCACGGAATATGTTATTTTATTTAATATTTTTATACAATCATATTTGTTATTACAGATATCAAACAACAACATAGCCTCCAGTTGTACTCTTCTAGACTTGAGATCAAGTAACTTATATAACTTAAGCAGTGCCTTGTAAGGTAATTGTTTACGAAGACATTTAAAATTAGTACAACGTAGAAACTTCTTTTGTACCCTTTCTAAGCCATTTTCATATTTTTGGTAAATTGGGTTCCATATAGCAACAGCGTACTCAAGTTGCGGCCTTATTAAAGATTTAAAGAGATAGGTAAAGGTCGATGGATTTCTGAATTCACTGGCTGACCTCATGACAAATCCGTACATTTTAAAGGCGTTATTAATAATATTTTCTATATGAATATCAAAGTGTAATTTGTTGTCTATAGTAATACCCAAGTCTCTGATAGACTGCACTTTCTCAATGTTAGTTCCACACAGTGAATATGTGTAATTGCTAACTACTTTTTTTTTACTAAAGCTAATACTTTTACATTTGTTAAGACTAAGCTCCAATTTGTTTTCGAGGCAATATAGGCTGAATCTATCCAGGTCTTCTTGAAGATAGATGTGGTCTTGATAGTTATTTATTCTTACATATATTTTTAAGTCATCAGCATAGAGTAGAAAGTCACTACTGAGGAAACATTTGTCAACGTCATTAATAAAGATAACGAATAGCAGTGGACCTAGGATAGATCCCTGTGGAACGCCAGAACTTACTATAGTGGTGTTTGACTCATAACCCCCAATTGCAACCCTCTGTGTTCTACCAGAAATGTAAGACTTGAACCACCTCCACAGGTCACCCCTTATACCATTGAATGCAATCTTTTCTAGCAATTTACGATGATCTACGCGGTCAAATGCTTTGCGGAAATCTGTATAAATACTGTCAATTTGAGTATTAGCATCGAGACCTTCAAATAGATCTGTGGTATATGCTAGAAGATTTGTCACAGTTGATCGTCTCTTAACAAATCCATGTTGCTGTTGTAAGATATGATTATGTAGTAGAGGATATATAGCATTGTGGACTAGTCTCTCAAAGATTTTAGAAAGTACCGGCAGTATGGATATAGGTCGGTAATTCTCGACGTCATTTTTTGAACCACCTTTATACACAGGTACGATCCTCGCGCTCTTCCATATTTTTGGTACTACACCCTCAGTCAAACATCTATTGAAGAGATAACATAGAGGCTGATCAATAACTGTTGCAGTTTCCTTAAAGAAGATGGGTGGTATGTTATCTGCTCCGGAACCCTTAGTAATATCTAACGATTTTAATGACTTGCAGATTTCAGTTCTGGTCAAAGTAAGATTACTGATTGTAACATCCGACATGTTTCCCGATACGGTGCCAAGGTCAGCTATGGTTAAGTTTTCAGTTACATCAGAAGGCCGGTACACCGAGAGAAAAAAATTACTAAATAAATTACAGGCCTCTTCGATAGTACCAGCCCTGATCGATTTGTATTGTATATCTGTAGGTATATCTGTTGAGCGCTTGCGATGGGAAACATAACTCCAAAAATACTTTATGTTAACCTTTATGCTAGTCTCTAATAACGCCATATACTGCATGTAACATTTTTCCGACATGATCTTAAATTCCTTTCTATATCTAGAGAAAACGTTATAGTTTGACTCACTATAATACTTTTTCATTCTAATCCATGCTTGATTTTTTTTCTTACTTAATTTTATCAATTTTGCCGTGAACCAGACCGGGTACGATTGTGATTTAATAACTTGTAAAGGTATATTTTGTTTAATGATACTGTATAATTTTTCATAAAAACAGGATACCGCCTCCTCAATCTCCCTATTCATTAATAGTTCATTCCAATTTATAATAGACAACTCTTGTTTAATTTTATCGTAATTAGCTTTGTTAAAACTGTATTTGGAAGATGGCTTACGTTGGATGTAGCTACTATTACTTATGAATGGTACCGAGACCCAGAACGGGGGATGATGTTCATCTGTGGACACTAATGAATTAGGGGCCGAAAACAGTACGCAATCCAACACATTAGTGAAAAACAAATCTAATATGGTTTTATTGTGATTTTGTAATGTATTTATTTGGTAACAGTTTGATATTGTCATGAAGTTATTTATGCACCGGTGTGTTTGATTTAAATCAGCACAGCTTAGACACTTTTTGTATGGCTCCCCATTAATCCAATTCAATTTAGGTAAATTAAAATCCCCAACGACAATCAAATACTCTCCGTTATTACTTTGATCCACTAATTTTTTTTGCAAAGCATAAAAAAAGTCATTATAAACTTGATTGTTTTGCTTTGGTGGAATGTAAACAGCACCAACACAAAAACGGGTTTTAGTTAAATGTAGTTCGAGCTTTAATTAAGTTATTCGTTATGAAAGGTAATCAATCTTAAATATAAACTAATTTTAATATCAAACGACGTCAATCTAAATACACAGCAAGCTATGCCTAATGTCTATAACTTTGAGAAAGACGGAGTAATTTGAATTATAATTAATGAGCTTAAAGTGCATTTTGGTTAAGTATATGATGTCGGTATATTTAACGCTCTTTGATTTATCATTTCAAACTCAAAGGAGAAGAAAAAGAGATGAAAAAGAACAAACAAAGGATACATCGGAGGAAAGGAAGTCTTAGTGAGAATAATAATTAAGATTTCATAAAACATGGTAAAATTCTGAAGTAGATATTATAAATATTAGATAGTTAAAATCATAAACGCTTCGTTACAATTCATAAAGTGTTTATTTTTATAAAATTATATTGTAAAGAAATTTATTTTCATGTCTTTTGACCAATCGAACTTTTCTGTATAAATAACACAAAGAGTTACCTATTTTTCTTTCTGAAAGTGCTGGAGAAGAGTGAAGAACGAGTAAGCTGAATTTATGATCTGAAAATATAATAAAACAAGATAAGTAGTAAGGTCTCATTAAAATAAAAAATCAACAAAAATCATCAAAATTATTATTATCAAAAGATTGACATTTTGAAAGGATTTTATGATTGCAGAAATATCGCATAAACGCATCAAACCTCTAATTGCAACGCTGGCGTAAGAATTTATGGCAAACCATTCCTAAAGAAGTATTATACTTATCATCATCATCGTTTACTAAAACTTACAGAAGTAAACGTGTCCAGTGATAATTTAAACATTTTGCCGCCAGTAATAGAGAGAGGTTTGTTGACCCTGTCCACGAAGAAACGCATGTTGCTCTTGAACTCACGCGAGCGAGATGTCCAGTCACAATTATAAACGGAGAATGCAAGAAGCTGACTCTGCAATGAGAAAACATAGTTATACGTGATTTTTGAATCGCAAGCTTACAAGCAATAGCTATAAAAATAAAAGTACCTTCACCATAATACGAGTACCGAGCCAACAAGGAGCCATTATTTGTAAAATCATTACGGACATATAGGTACCCAAAAATATGTAATAGCCCATTGGTGCAGGCTGAAACCAGCAATCATATTGATATATATTATTTTAAAAATTGTATCCACTTTGAAATGTATTTCAAAGTAAATAAAGTTACCATGGTAAATCTCAATAAGCAAACGCATATAATGCATGATGCTGCGCCAAATTGTACAAATAATGTCGCACTGAATACATCTTTAACGATCTCACAGAATCTGAAAAAAGAACCTGTTTAAATTGATTTACCTTGCACACTATCACATTAGGACCCTTCCTGTATCACCTAGTATTAACTTGGATGTGCAACCAATTGTTTGTCATAGATCAAATTAACCCTAAAAAAAAAGTGTCTGTTTTGATGTCTTTCTGTTAAACCATACTGATGCGACTGGTCGTATGACCATGGTATCAAATAAATCTAAGCATCTTACCTGCAGACTTTGATAAAATGTATGATACATTGATTCATTTTCATTACGTCTTCCTTGTTTCTATCAGCCGGTGACCTTGAAATCTCTCCATCGATATCTTCAATTTTATTTTCATCTGTGACTTTCCTTAATTTCGTATCAAGGATATCTAACTGAGCTATAGCCAGCACCATCAAGCCAAGAAAAAATGAGTCTACGTTCACATTGTACAACATATGAAAATGTATGGATGCACTTTGATACAGATAAATAGGATAAATGAACATCAATCTATACTCTTCAGATATAAAAGCATAGCGGCAGACAGGTAACAATAATTCTACACCCAAAATTAGGTGACTGATCAACGGAGACATAATGTGTACCAAACTAGATAGGTACGAAACACTCATAATAATCTTCCAATAAGACTTATTAAACTTCTTAGCTTTGTCCAAAATAGTTAATCCTTCAACTTCGTCTGGTTGAAAAAGATCACTTTCAAGTATATCTAAAATCTCAATTATTTGATCGTGCATAAAAACGAAGGTCAAAACTTTAGATGTTACAGCGAGGTCAGTGAAATAGAATATCATTTCTTCTATGAAGATATCCAATTGTCTAGGTAGAAAATAAAAGTTAATGGAAAACAGTAAATAGAAGATAATAACAAAGACCATAATGAATGCTTTACTGTAGTAGTTGTAATAACGGCATGGATTGTTACCCGGCCAAATGGCAAGGAATTTGAAAAACTTCATGTTTATGTTAAAACAGTCTACTTGATGGAATTTCATGACTAGTTCGTGAGTAAGATATAGCTTCTTCATTCTCTTATATGTTATCAGTTGTGGTATCAGCCACTGATCACACAAAACCGAACATGTACGGCAAACTGCAGAACATAGTTGACTAGAGTATCTTTTGTATTAAAAAATTCTGTTGTTTTTAAATATTTAGGTATGCATCTAATAGGAGGTGTTACTGTCTTTTATAATAACTATCGTGACACCTACTAAATTAACTAAATAAATTAATTAACTAAATAAATATCGCGGGTTACTCACGTGAATATATTGAGAAAAGTTCTACTAGTTTCGAACCACAGAGGGGTTCTTCCTCATGAGCAACGTACGCGGTCACAGCGACGTCAGCCTAGGCTGCGCGACATTAACACGATATTCACGTGACTTACCCTGAAAACTCTGTGTCATAATTTCAAAGTATATCCGATTATAAATAATATTTGTGCATGTTATGAATGGCGACGCTAAAAGAGTTTATGGACGCCTTTTTTAAAGAATTTTTTAGTTTGTAACTGCGCAGAAAATCGGTGTTTTTCATAACTTGACGATCTTAGTATGAAAATTTCTCACAAATTGTTCGGTAGACGATCATATCAGTTTGAAGACATGAATTTAAATTTCGGATATTGGTAGAAGATAATGCGCAATAAGCAACTCCATAGTTTTAATAGTTTTGACTCTGTTAAAGGTGTTTAGCTTGTTATTAGTACTTTTACTAGAAAAATGCATTTCATTGTCTAATTAAAGACTTTATACACACGAGTAAAGAAATGAACTACCTTCAAAGTGAATAGTGGAACTTTTTTCTTGGGAACTTATCAAAGGGGAATAATTACTGTAAGTGCCGTATCTATTACAACGGGGGCCTTTGGAAAACGATGTAGGTTAATTGCTGGTTCCGTATTTTTAAATGAGATGCAATTAGCAAGGTGACGTTCGTCTATCTACGAAACGGAACTAGGGATCCGTCCTAATTAACAGAAAGTTCACGTGACAAAAAGTTCGTGGAAAAATATTTATAAAGGCCTCGAGAAGTCTTTGTTGTTGTAATGAGTTAGGGACAAAGATTATTGTAATTAATTATCGGTTAGTTTAATATTGGGTTTAAATAATTATAGTTGGTATTATGGCATTTAAACGTCCATTAATTTTATTTATTTGCTGCATGGCTTTTAATTAACTAAAATCGCGGGTTACTCACATGTATATACTGAGAAAAGCTCTGCTAGATTCATTTTTTTTGCATGTATCTTCTCTGTCCTGCTGCCTGGCACTAACACCTATATTTTTTCTCACTGTCATTTAAAGGTGATCAGACATTTTGACACGGATATTTGTTCCAAAATTAAATTGTATATTACACAGATACGCTGCACACCCATTCACGCTACACACATAGATACACTACACTTACTCGAACAAACATTCATGCTTGCACACACCCACGCACATATGCTCTCAGCCACAACATACACACACACGCACACACATTCACTCACTCAGTTACTCATACACACACATACATACATACACACGCCCGGTTTTTGTACCTGGTATATGGCAATAGGCTCACCCCCTATTACATGGGACTCATAACATAAATAGTGAAAAGTGTGTGTTACATTGTACAATGGCATAATGTGCACCTCTGCCTACCCTTTCGGGGATCGCGGGACGATCTCCGGCCACCGTAAGCGCGGGCCTGCGGACGGCGAGCATGGGTGGCTCCCCGTCCGACCAGAAACAGACCCGAGCGTACGGCGCGTCGCGTTCCGCGCGCGCCTCAAAGAGCCATCAGACCACCACAGATGGGGCCCAATAGGGCCGATGCCGATTCGGAGTCGCGGAGAACCTAACGGGTAACCGGGGCTCCGGCTCGACGTGCAGGAGAAGGAACGGGGTGGTTTTTAGTCAGTAAGAGTCTGACACTCCCTCCCGCCTCACCCAGGCGGGGGCAGTCATTCGATGATTTTCCCCCCTTAAAAAAAAAAAAAAAAAAAGGATAAAAGGCGTGATGTTATGTTATGTTATGCTACATACTCACACATACTCACACACACAGACACACACACACACACACACACACACACAGTTATTTTACGAAAGATTTATAATTACGTTCTTTGAATGTAATAGGGTAGTTCACTCCCACTCACTTTATTTGTTTTACTAAAATAAGTAGACTAACGTTGGTTTCATTTATTTATTTAAAATACAATACAATAATACTACAGTGTGCCTGATTTAATTTTAACGACAATTACAATCAAGATTTCATTGCAAAACTATGTTATTGTTAACTTATGACTATTACATACTTAAAAACTAAAGTAAATAATATCTATGTACTTATATTATTATGTGAAGATATAGAAAAGTATATATTTAAATAAAAATATTCGATAGTTTTTCTATCAAAAAGCATTACTCTTTCTGAAAGTGCTGGAGAAGAGTGAAAAATGAATAAGCTGAGTTCATAATCTGAAACGAAAACGGAGTAGGATTAGTACCTACCTATATAATTATTTAAAATAATGTAAGGACATACCAAATACCAACAATAGTTAACTTACATAACATAACAACACGCCTTTTATCCTCGAACGCCGATTGCTTACCATCAGGTGATCCGTCTGCTCGTCTACCGGATTATGCCATAAAAAAACTTGTCAATCAATCGGTGCCAAGGCGTTTAAGAGGAAGAATTCATTCTAATGTGGACGACATCCAAACTTTAATGATGACTATAAACCCATCTTCATTGAATGTCACATTGATTTCATTCCGTTTAATTCAATTGCTCTATTTTTTGTATTTGCATGACGTGATTCCCTTTAATTTGGAGGATCACCAGGCTATTATAGTGTCTAGCCACCAGACCACTACAGACAGGGCCTAATAGAGCTGATGGCGAGGCCGCGGAGGACTTAACGGGTTGGCGGGACTCCGGCTCGATTTAGAGAAGTAGGAACGGGGTGGTTTTTAGTCAGTTAGAGTCTGACACTCCCTCTCGCCTAACCTGGGCGGGAAAACTCATTTAATGATTTTCCCTCCTCAAAAAACAGGCTATTGTAATCAAATGTCTAGTGGATTATATTTTAGCATGTAAGTATTTTTGGTGGAAGTCCAATTAAATAAATAAATGAATAAATTCCTTACAGAAGTAAACGTGCCCAGTGACAAGTTAAACATTTTGCCGCCAGTAATAGAGAGGGGTTTGTTAGCCCGGTCCACAAAGAAACGCATGTTACTCTTGAAGTGACGCGAGCGAGATGTCCAGTCGCAATTGTAAACGGAGAATGCAAGAAGTTGACTCTGAAATGGGAAAAAATACTGCAATATAATAAAGATAGATAGCAAAAGATCAAGTGGGAGAGCTATGCGTCGAATGCAAAAATGTCGTGGTGGCCCGGAGGTTTAAGACGCCCGCTTCTCATGCATGAGGGTACGGTAGGGTTCGAAACCTACCAACGGCAAGTACTAATGTGACTTTTTGGGGTTATATGTACTTTCTAAAATTATCTAGCCACCACTGACAAACGGTGAAGGAAAACATCGTGAGGAAACCTGAGCTTATAATTTCAAATTATAAGTTTATGATCGCCAACCCGCATAGAGTGTGGTGATTAATGCTTAAAATTTTTCTGTGTGAGAAGAGGCTTTGCTCAGCAATTTGCATTTATAGGTTGTTGATGCGAGCTATGGTCGACACGAATTGGTCTGTTCGACGGCAGTGACACTACATCCTAATAGGAAACCAACGTGAAACAACGGTAGCGTTTTTTCGCTGTGTGAGTATCATACATAAGTCATGTGTTACCAATTCGAAGCACATAATAACTAAGGAATACAAATGTCGAGCTCTTCGACAAATTATGAAAGACTACCTACTCTACACAAGTATGTACTGAAACACTTTTTTTTAACAAAATCGGTTGCTTGTCCCTTTTATCGTCCGTGATTTTTTATCGATGTCTCGTGAGACGATTTTGCATATTTTCCCACATACATTTTGTAAGACACGTGTTTCCCTCGTAAGGGTCGTAAAGCGGTGTTAGATAGCCTATAACAGTGCCACTCACTAGGATTTACTTTTATGCGACGGGTGCTTTACAAAAAATCCTAAATCTGGTACTAGATTTAGCGTTCGTACCTATATCATAAGTATAAAAATAACATAAAAATTTTGTTTATCCTTTTATCTGCTGAAACACCATCTCCCGGTATAAAACACATTATACCCACAACTTTCAACAGACAAGAGTTTATAAAAGATACATCAAAATATTTCTAAATGTAATATAATAATATTTTTTCTAGTACCTTATCCATAAGACGAGTACCGAGCCAACAAGGAGCCATCATTTGAAGAACCATCAATGACATGTAAGAAGCCAAAAATACAATATAACCCATTTCCGCAGGCTGAAACAAAAAAAACTATAAAATATCCATCGAAGTTGCTATATTAAAATATGAGTAGTACTGAAGACATTAGGTACCATAGTAAATCTGCACAAACAAACGCATATGATACAAGACGCTGCACTGTATTGTACAAATAATGTTGCACTGAATGCGTCTTCAATTAGCTCACAAAATCTGGAAATCACAAGAACTGTATTAATTTACTTAATATACGTATTAATTAACACTTATATTCTAAAACAGATTCAATAGGTACGGGATGGAATAAAGGACAGTGGACAAAATACACCCAGTTTCGTTACGGCTCAGACTACATTTTATTTATAAGCCGGTAAACGAACAGACGGATCACCTGATGGTAAGCAATCGGCGTCGCCCATGGATACCTGGAACACCAGAGGCGTTACAAGTGCGTTACCGGCCTTTTGGGGATTGAGAGGTTGAGGATCGTTGGGGATTCAGGGATTGGGGAGATTGGAGAAGGGGAGGGTAATTGGGCCTCCGGTAACCTCACTCACACGACGAAACACAACGCAAGGGTTGCTTCACGTCGGTTTTCTGTG